GGGTTCGGGGTTTCTTAAAGCGGAGGGCTGCCAAGTGTCCTTAGAATTGGACGTTTTGTTTTCATCCTAACGACCTTGAGGCACTGACAAGTATTGGGAAAAGTTGGTTTTCAACCCTCTTATCGCCGTAAAGGAGATAAAAGAAAGGGCCTAAATTGACTCAGTAAGTTCTTTGAGTACGTTGGGTACCGTGCGCTGTTCTTGTGCTTCCCGAAGACGCAGAACTCGGCGACGGAATTAAAGCCAAATAGGGTGTCAGCCCAAACTCACGACTGCAGTTTCGCCTGTCATCATACCTAGCTTTGCTCCTGTTTAATGTGTGTGCACCTGAAATCGCCAGAAGTTTCAGTTGCGAAATCTAAAGGCAAAGGCGTCAAGAATAGTGAAGCATCTTTTAATAAGTTCCATTCCTCAAATTTGAATAGGAAGTGGAATGTTTTGTGAAAGGCAACTAAAACGGTGCGATTCCCCATTTTGGCTAATTTTAGAATTAAGAAGCAGATTTAAGAAGTAGAATCTACGGTGTTCTAATATGTGTCAAGTATTTAGCATTGTAAGATACATACTGGGAATTCGTGTGGTTTTAACACCAGCAAAGGAAATATTTGGTTGGAGGGGCTCTCTGCATAACAAAGTATTAGGCTGGGCCAGCACTTTATCTTATAAGCTATGGTTTATCTCATGTAATTTTCATAAAATTAAGAAAAATAATAGAGGGTAGATGTGATGTTGTGTACTACCATTTTTCTTAGTTTTCAGAAAATAAGGCTTATTTATTTTCTTTTGCTGTACTAGGAACCCAGGGTTTTGCCTATGTGAGGCAAGCCCTCTAGCCCCTAGGGCTTAAACTAGGCTTAAAGCAAAAATAAATTTTTAAATAGTTTAAACATTTAAGTTCTTTTTTTTTCCTCCCCTTCTATTTTAGATGTCAATCACAGGGAAAAAGTTATACACACTAATTATTTAAAATGAAATAATAGAGAATTGGGTGAACAAGAAATATGAAGTTCTCTGCACTTCCCCAGTTCCCCAACATATGAACAGTTTAGTCACACATTCTTTTTTCAGATTTTTATAGACTACGCTAGGCAACCCTAGTTGTGTGTGAACTTGTTTGAGAGCTGGTTTAGAACTGACCTATAATGATTGGCATGCCTGTTAAAGTTCTTTATGTCCTTGTATTCTGTATTGAGAAAGTGTTCAAGTAACACAACTGAATTTAAAGTTTGCCTGAATTTTAAAACATTTTTCTGAGTTTTCTTTGATATTTTTGGAGCATATTATCTAAACACCAAGAGGAAAAGTGAGAGAAATCTCTTTATTTTTCATTTTTAAAAATCAATTTATTTATTTTACAGTACAGTACATTTTTGACATATTGTACACAAATGGAGCAAAACTTCTCATTCCTTTGACTGTACATGGTTCAGAGTCACTCCAGAGTGTAATCATACATGTATATAGGATAATAATGTCTGTCACTTTCTACTGTTCTTCCCATCCCCACAACCCCACCCCTCCCCTTAGAAATCTTTTATTTAAAAAAATCTTTGAGTTGCCTTACAGACCTTCTGTACACTAGAATTATCCAGTGGCTTAAAACAAACAATCAAAACCAAAATCTTCCGATTCTTGAGTACCACTCATAAATTCTGATTTAATTCATTCAGGGACCAAGCAACAGTTAAAATTTCTCCAGTAATTCTATTTTGCATAGTACTTTATTTTTATTTTTTGGTACTGGGATTGAACTCAGGGGCACTTAACCATTGAGCAACATTCCCAGCTTTTTTATTTTGAGGGTCTCTTAAGTTGCTGAGGTTGGCTTTGAACTCGATATCGTCCCACCTCAGCCTCCCAAGTTGCTTGGATTGCAGATGTATGCTACCGTGCCAGTTGCATAGTCGTGTTTAATCAAGTTTTCCTATAGGTAGTTACTTACATTTGAATTATTTCGTTGTTTTTTTAGAAAACAGAGTTTATTAATTGTCAATGTGTATTTTGAAGAGTTGTTTTCTGTGCAAATTTCTAAAAAATGCCTTTTAATTGCATGCATCTAAAAAATATCTTTATTATATTTACTTATTTGTGGTGCTGAGGATCGAACCCAGTGCCTCACAAGAGCTCTGCCACTGAGCCACAACCCCAGCCCCTACTTGCATACATTTTGATTGTTAGAACATGTTAGATGTATTTGACAGCTGAAGTATATTATGAATTAAAAAATTGTTGGGCTGGGGATGTGGCTCAAGCAGTAGCGTGCTCGCCTGGCATGCATGCGGTCTGGGTTTGATCCTCAGCACCACATACAAACAAAGATGTTGTGTCCGCTGAAAACTAAAAAATAAATATTAAAAAAAAAACTCTCTCTCTCTCTCTCTCTCTTTAAAAAAAAAAGATTGTCATTACTGATATAGTAGGCTGTTAAACAGAGCAGTGGAGTAAGCATATTTATGCCCTAAAATGATAAATATGAGCCAACTAAGTATTGTCAATTAATTAAGAAAGCCTTGTTAACTGGAACATTGCTAATTAAAACCTTTGGGTAACTAGATTGATTTTGGTGCTGTTCCTATGTTTAGGAAAGAGACAAAATTACTTTTGAATTTATTCTGTTGAAATGTTTTTTCTCCACCTGTGGTATAGCCTGTTAGTCTTTTTATTTATTTATTTATTTATTTATAATATTTTGAGACAGGAGTCTTTCTTTCTTTTTTTGGGGGGGGGGTACTAGGGATTGAACTCATGGGCTCTCAACCACTGAGCCACATCCCCAGCCCTCTTTTGTATTTTATTTAGAGATAGGGTGTCAGTGAGTTGCTTAGTGCCTTGCAGTTGCTGAGACCGGCTTTGAACCTGCAATCCTCTGAGACAGGAGTCTTTCCATGTTGCCCAGGCTGGCTGTGAAATTCTGAATCGATGGGATCCTCTTGCCTCAGTGTCCTCAGCATCATCCACCCAGCTTCTGCCATCATTTTTAGATTTAGCCCTATTCCTGCATTCTCCATGTCAATAATGTTTAATCATAGTTGATCTTCATAAATCCTTGAAGCACTACAGAATTCCTTGGGCAGGACAATGGTAAATGCTTGCAATTCCAACTATGAGGGATATTGAGGCAGGAAGATTACAAGTTTAAGGCCAGCATGGGCAATTTAGCCAGACCTTGTCTCAAAAAAAGGAAAAAAAAAACTTAGAATTCTTTTTTTTTTTTAAATATCCTTTTAGTTGTAGATGGACACATTTATTTTATTTTATTTATTTTTATGTGGTATTAGAGATTCTTTTTTTAAATTGATTTTATTATTATTTTTTAAATACATGACAACAGAATGCATTACAATCCTTATTGTGCATATAGAGCACAATTTTTCGTATGTCTGTATATAAAGTATGTTCACGTCAATTTATGCCATTATACATGTACTTTTTTTGCATTATAATTCTTAATACACAGATATGCTACAATTTTTCATACAGATTCTTAATCAAAAGAAAATCTGGGGTGGGGATATAGCTCAGTTGGTAGAGTGCTTGCCTTGTATTCACTAGGCCTTGGGTTTGATCTCCAGCACCACCAAAAAAAAATCTGGGCCAGGTGTGGTGCTACATGCCTATAATCCCAATGACTTGGGAGGCTGAGGCAGGAGGATCATGAGTTCAAAGCTGATCTGAGCAAAAGCAAGGCACTAAGCAACTCAGTGAGACCCTGTCTGTAAATAAAGTACAAAATAGGGCTTGGTATGTGGCTCAGTAGTCGAGTGCCCCCC